CTTTTTTGATATTTCTGTTTGAAAACATCGATGTGCATCTGGCTCCCGGACTGGAAGGCTAAAGCTGCTGCGGCACAGCGGTCATGGTACCCACGTTTCTGGTAGTGGTTTACCCGTTTACCGCCGAGGGTTTTTGCCTCGGCGACAAACGACATGCTTTCAAATGAGAAATAGATGAGAAATGGAATACGAATCTTCCAGCTCATAGTTTGCTCCATTAAAATAAGATTGTGCGCATGGGGCTTAGCTTCAAATGAGAAAATAGATGCTGAACCTCCCGTTGTTGTTACGGAGCGAGCGAAGCAAGCGAAGTCTTTTCAATATAACGGATAAATCTCAGTAAGAGCGGCCCGGCCCGACCCGGCCCGGGCTGTAACGCTTTTGAAAGGCTAAAAAAAAAACTCAGCAACCGCTGGGCCGATTTAATTGCGGTAATTTTTGTATAGCTAGATTCCTTCTACCAAGTATTTGATTTCTTTCGATGCATGTGGGTGACCCCCTATGCACGTGCCACGTGCAAAACGAAGAGGAGTCATTTTTGTAACAATTGCAATATCTCGGTAGTTACTGGGCCGATTGCGCTGAAACTTTGCATGTAGGTAGGCAGTAGGCACCCACTAGGCAATGCATTTTCATGTCCCACAGTCCATGTGGGGTGCTTCTGCACGTGCGCACGTGCAGGGGTCGATTCCAGATCTCGAGAACGGCTGGACTGATTGCGCTCAGATTTGGTTAGCGGTTAGGGATCCGTAGGTAGGGTGCCGTGCAAAAGTCAGTTGGGACCCATTTTGCACGTGCGCACGTGCAGGGTGCCGCTTCTAGATCTCGAGAACGGCTGGGTCGAATGCGCTCAAATATGGCACATTGCTAGAGACCGGTTAGTAGGGTACCGTGCACAAGTCAGTTGGAGGTACCCCCTCACAATTTCCCACGTGCAAGGCCCACCCTCTCGCTCGCTCCGTTTGTCGTCCTATAAGGCGTTTTACTGGTAGTATGTGTAGCAATGTGAATCTAGCATTGCATTTCACTAAAACAATGCCGTCAGGTCAATCATGTGAGGATATCAGACGCATTCTTGTGACTAGAGCTGCGGCAGACTCAACATAAGATAACATGTATCCATATCAAATAATCAGTTTCGTTCTAACTGGGTAGGACGTGCCTACACCAGGCTAAGGACGGCGCCGGGAAGGCCTGTCGAGAGACGTGTTCCTTCTGCGCGGTGTTTACACACCATGATCTCCCTCAGTCGGCGCCGCCCGCCGCGCCGGCGCAGTAACCAAACGTCGTTATCGTAAGGGCCGTGAAATGAGGAGGGGGAGAAGGTCATTAACGTGGGAAAAAAGCGCTCTACCCTGGTGACATCTACTGGCTGAGAATCGGAGTAGTAGTGCTCGGACACCAACGCTGAGCGGAGCCACCTCCGAAGTTAACGCACCCTTAAGGCGTGACAATACAACAGCTACGGTTACAAGAGATAACATATAAGGCAGAAAACAATCACAAGACATATGTGTCAATCAATCACTGACATCTGCGTGCATCAAAAGGATTTACTAGTTTACGACGCCGCCGCTGGGTTGCACACGCTACGGCGCCGTCGCTAGCAACGGAGCGCTGTTGCACCCGCTACAGTATACCCCCTCCCTAGACACGTCACTGGGGAACGGAGAGGAACGTGACGTGTCGGAACCGGAGAGGCGGGCGGACTTCTCTACCGGAGCGGGTACGGAGGGCAGGGCGGAGCGGAGGCGCCGCCGGCATGGCACCAGGCGGGCACGACGAGCCGGCCGCCGCCGCTGACTGACAGTCGGCAGGGGAGGGCGCAGGAGGACCGTCGGCAGGGGAGGGCGCAGGAGGTACAGGGACCGCAGTGGACGGAACGGACTCGATGGGTCGGCGTGGAGTCTTGGATGGGAGTAGGAGCTTAGGTCCCGAACCTGGCACCGCAGTGTTGGGGCCCGGCGCGTCACGGGGCGGGTCGCAATGATTCGGAGTAGCAGTCGGCGCATCAAGAAAGGCGGGTTTGACACGGTCCAGCGAGACAGTATCATTACGACCGTTACGGAACACGGTGACAGTCTTGGTTGAACGGCGCACCACACGAAAGGGACCGTCATACGGCGGCGTCAGCGGTGGGCGAGAGGAGTCTCGCCGAATGAAAACATGCTGACAGTCCAGCAGCTCACTCGGCACAAACACAGGCGCGGAGGACGGAGATCGAGGGGCCGCCGGTGGAACCCGGCGCATGGCCCGGCGCAGCTCGTCCACGTAGGACGCCGGATCCAGGTGCGTCGGACCTGACGCAGCAGAGACGAGTTCGCCCGGAAGGCGCAGAGGCTGTCCGTAGACGAGCTCCGCCGGCGTGCAGCCCAGGTCTTCCTTCAGCGCCGACCGGATGCCGAGAAGAGCCATGGGCAGGAGGTCGGTCCAGCGGACCGGCAGATCAGCCGCACGCAGTGCAGTCTTCAGCTGACGATGGAAACGTTCCACCAGACCGTTGCTCTGCGGATGGTAACTGGTGGTGCGAATGCGGTGGCAGCCGAGGATCTGCGACAGGTGGTCCCACAGGTTGGACTCAAACTGTGCACCACGGTCAGTAGTGACGCAGGACGGCACGCCGTAACGGGCCACCCATCCGGAGACGAACGCGCGGGCGACTGTCACTGCACGAATGTCCGGCAAGGGCAGCGCCTCTGCCCAGCGCGTGAACCGATCCACATAGGTGAGCAGGTACTGGTTACCGTCCGACGGGGGCAACGGACCCACGAGGTCGATGTGCACGTGGTCAAACCGTGCCGCCGGCAGCGGAAACGGTTGCACTGGGGTACGCGTGTGACGCTGCACTTTAGCCCGCTGACACTGGAGACACGCACGCGTCCACGTCGCGACGTCACGGTTCATACCGGGCCACACAAATCGCTGGGCGACGAGATGCTGGGTGCCACGGACGCTCGGGTGTGACAGGCTGTGCAGAAGGCGGAAGTAGGGTCGCCGGAGGTCCTCTGGCAGCAGTGGCCGAGGGCGACCTGTAGATTCGTCCACCAGCAGCGTTGAACCACTGGGCAGCTCGACGGAGCGCAGGCGGAGGGAGTGACGAGTGGCGACGAACGCCTGGAGCTCCCGATCGGTCTGCTGGGCCGTCGCCAGAGTCTCGAAGTCGTCCAGGGGTGGTCGAGGTTCGGAGAGCACGGTCGTGATCCGAGAGAGCGCGTCCGCCACTACGTTGTTCCGTCCGGGAACGTGACGGACATCAGTAGTAAACTGGCTGACGAAGTCCAGGTGACGAGTTTCGCGAGGAGCGTGACGATCGGAGCTGCACCCCACAGCCGACACCAGGGGTCGATGGTCCGTGAACAGGATGAACTCCCGGCCCTCGACACTGTGGCGGAAGTGCCGGATGGCGAGGTAGCAGGCCAGCAGCTCGCGCCCGAAAGTGCTGTAGCGCGTTTCGGCAGGCTTGAGTGTCTTGGAGAAGTAGGACAGCGGTGTCCAGCAGCCGTCCACGAACTGTTGGAGGACCGCGCCGACGCCGACATCCGAGGCATCCACTTGGATGCTGAGTGGTGCACCTGGCAGAGGGTGTGCCAGTCGGGTGGTGTCCGCCAGGCGCGCCTTGACGGCGGTGAAGGTCGACTGGGCCTCGTCAGTCCAACGGACGGGCCGAGCGCTCTTGGCGTTGCGTTGTGTGATCAGCCGGTGCAGAGGGCGAAGCAGGGCGGCGGCGTCGGGCATGAATCGGTGGTAAAACGTTACCATTCCGATGAAACGCCGAAGGTCGCGCTCGGTGCGAGGCAGCGGGAAGTCCCGGACGGCTGCCACCCGGTCCGGCAGTGGGGCGATGCCGTCACAGTTGACGTCGTGTCCCAGAAAGTTCAGCCGCGGAACGCCGAAGACGCATTTGTGGACGTTCAGTACCACGCCGTACGCGTCCAGCTGTTGGATCACTTTTCGCACGTGTCCGATGTGCTCCGTCTCCGACGAGCTCGCGATCAGTATGTCATCGACATATGCGAAACAGTGGGTGCAGTCGCGCAAGACCTCGTCAATAAAGCGTTGGAAGGTCTGGCCGGCATTACGCAGGCCGAAGGGCATGCGGACCATTTCCCACAGGCCGAAGGGTGTGGTGATAGCGGTCTTCGGCACGTCGGACGGCTCCACGGGTATCTGGTTGTAGGCCCGGTGGAGGTCGAGTTTGGTGAAGATGGAGCAGCCGTGCAGCTGAGAGGCGAAGTCCTGGAGGTACGGGAGAGGGTACCGGTCGGGGACGGTGGCAGCGTTGAGAGCCCGGTAATCCCCGCACGGGCGCCACTCGCCAGGAGTGGCCTTCGGTTCCAGGTGGAGCGGCGCAGCCCAACTGCTCTGTGACGGGCGGATGACGCCGAGCCGGTAGAGCTTGTCGAACTCTCGGCGAGCGACAGCAAGCCGGTCAGGAGCGAGACGGCGAGGGCGTGACTTCCGGGGCGGGCCCGTGGTGACGATATGATGCGTCACCGAATGGCGTACCGGAAGCGGACGGGAGGTGTCGGCCGTGACGCCCGGGAACTCCGCCAGCATCGACTGGTAGGGCGAGGCAGTGGGTCGGAGACCCAAAGAGGACACTACTGCAGTGGTGCCCCTCGCTCTGACAGTTCCATTGTCCTCACACAGCGTGCACCTCCTCACATCCACCGAGAGGTGGTGATGGGCCAGAAAGTCGGCGCCGAGGATGGGCACGCCGACTTTGGCCACCACAAAACGCCACGGCAGAGGCGAGCCACCATCCAAAGTCACACAGTGGTCAAACAGACCGATGACCGGCACGCTGGAGCCATTGGCCGCGGTCAGTCGGGGAGCCTGTCCGGCGGCTAGCACTGCGCCTCGCGGGAGCGCGTGAGGAGGCAGGGCACTCACTTGGGCCCCAGTGTCTATCAAGAATCGGCAGTTCAATTTAGTATCGTGCACATAAAAGAGCGGCGCCAAGTCCGGTGTCGGGCCTGATGCGGGAGGCGCAGGCCGGCTCAGGCCTCCGAGTTTCCCGCCGGCGTCCACGCACACGGCCCAGTGCACTTTCGGGCCCGCGCTCCATAGGTGCGGTGGTACCAGCAGTAATCCTCCCGCTCGTCGCGGGAGGGCGAGGACGACCGGGAGCCACGCCTAGGCGTTCCTGGCCGCGAGCGGCGACCAGCAACTGCCCCCTCCAACCGCCGATGGGAGGTGTCCAGCCGGCTGATGACGGCGGACAGGGAAGCGATGGCGGCAGCCAGATCTCCGTCCCCAGTCGTGGCCGCAGGAGCCGGGCTGGAGTTCGCACCTACGGCGGAGACGGCGCCAGTGGGACGAGACGCCTCCAGGAAGCGGTCAGCCGCCTGTGCGAGCTCTGCCAGCGGAGTGGCCTCCGGCAGGAGCGAGAGAGCGGCGCGGGCGGACTGCGGCAGCCGCTGGAGGAACAGGGTCCTCAGTAGGCCACTGTCCACCGACGAGTCGCCAGCCGTTGAAAGTTGTCCTCTCATATCGCGAAGCAGCTGGGAAGGCGACCTGTCGCCGAGCTGTTGATGCCGGAGCAGGGCCTCGAGGCGGCTGGCACGGGACTGGGCGAGGCGCTGGCGGAGGGCAGTGCACAGCCCGTCGAAGTAGGGTGACCGGTTTTGCAAAAAGTTTCGAAAAGTTTTGCTCCCCAGGTCTAATGTAACGTATTTGGGGGTGCTGATCACGAATCCGGCGGAAAAAATATAAAATTCGAATTTTTTTTGACCGCCCCAGCTCTTTGAATATTTTCGGTTTTCTCAATTTTTGCATGTTTTTGAATAATATGATGAATGTAATGAAAAAATATTAACAATGTATCGCTAAATGCATGTACCAGTCGATTCGGCATACAGCGGCGTCGAAATCGGCACGCCGCCTGCTTCACCGGCCTCGCAGGAAAGCATACGGCTCGGAAGGTTTGCGTTAGTTACTCGATTCTCTCCATAGATGGCGCTGGCGTAGCCGCCCGCCGGCCGGTCGTTGCCGTGCCGTTCACAGCCCCGGCGGTCACTTGCGACCGTCGTGGTCGTTATGCTACGTCTATCAAAGCACGACAGAAATGTTCACTTCATTTTTATGTTACTTCAGACATATTTTAGACCTAATGTTGAATTGGATAAATGACTATCGTGAATTGGCGAAATAGTGGAGTGCGCCCGGGAGCCATTTACAATAGCGAGGAACGTAGGTGGATTGATCTGAGTAACATATGACACTGCGTTCACTGTTGCTATGAAGTTTATTCACACTATGTAGTCGGGTGACATGAGAACAAACCTTGAACCTTGAGAACATACCTTGTGTACGACACATGGATGAAGCTAATGCTACTTTTTCATTTTGTTTCGGTAGGCCCGTTTGTTCAGAGCGTAGCCGTCCTGTCGAACTGCGCCTGTTACAGCTGTGACTGATTCGGTGGTCAGCTTTACAGCCCTTTCGGTGGGTTGGGTATGGCAGGGAACCACCGTTTTAAGGGGAGTCTGTAGAAAGTCGCGCAACTCATCCTCGCTCATGTGTCGTACACAAGGGGGCTCAATGTCTCGGCCCTCGTCAACCGCTCGCTGCACGTTAACCAGTTCCATATAGTTGTTCGCTTAAACGTTAATTTCCGGCAGCCGGACGTGCCGAATGGGCTGCTGCTGTGGCGGTGGGGGTGGCAGCTTTGGCGGCGGTCGTGCCGGCGGTGCCGGCGGTGGTGGTGGTGGTGGTGGCCGCCGCCGTTTCAGACACCGCTGCTGCTGTTGTGGCGGCGGCGGCGGGGGCGGCGGCGGCGGTGGCGGTGGTGGTGGTGGCGATGGCCGCCGCCTCTGTCGCCGCTGCTTCTGCTGTGGCGGGGGCGGGAACGGCGGCTGCTCCTGTCCCTGCCTTTTTTGACGAATGCTCTGGATTATGCGGACTGCATCTGCCCTGATGCCATGCCCCCGCCACAGCAGAAGCAGCGGCGACAGAGGCGGCGGCCATCGCCACCACCACCACCGCCACCGCCGCCGCCGCCGCCGCCACAACAGCAGCAGCGGCGTCTGAAACGGCGGCGGCCATCACCACCACCACCACCACCACCACCACCACCGCCGGCACCGCCGGCACGACCGCCGCCAAAGCTGCCACCCCCACCGCCACAGCAGCAGCCCATTCGGCACTTCCGGCTGCCGGAAATTAACGTTTAAGCGAACAACTATATGGAACTGGTTAACGTGCAGCGAGCGGTTGACGAGGGCCGAGACATTGAGCCCCCTTGTGTACAACACATGAGCAAGGATGAGTTGCGCGACTTTCTACAGACTCCCCTTAAAACGGGGGTCCCCTGCCATTCCCAACCCACCGAAAGGGCTGTAAAGCTGACCACCGAATCAGTCACAGCTGTAACAGGCGCAGACTGACAGGACGGCTAACGCTCTGAACAAACGGGCCTACCGAAACAAAATGAAAAAGTAGCATTAGCTTCATCCATGTGTCGTACACAAGGTATGTTCTCAAGGTTCAAGGTTTGTTCTCATGTCACCCGACTACATAGTGTGAATAAACTTCATATCAACAGTGAACGCAGTGTCATATGTTACTCAGATCAATCCACCTACGTTCCTCGCTATTGTAAATGGCCCCCGAGCGCACTCCACTATTTCGCCAATTCACGATAGGGGAGAGCGGGGAGAGTTGTATCATGTCCAAGTTGTATCAGGGCGAATTGTGCCAAACTTATCCAATAGATAGCGCTCGTGACACGACCAGCCGACGAGGTTTTCCGGGCGCCATCTTTCCCTGTTCTGTCGTGTGGCTGGGTGGACGCGTCTCGAGTTGAGAGCCGATTTTATGTTTTTTAAATGTCATTCTAAAAAAATGAGTTGCAAGAAAATGTGTGTTTTGGGCATTTAGATGTGCACGAATTTGAAAGCTATCCGTAGCCATGGTGAGGGTAGGTTCTAAGGCTGCGTGAGTGAAAATGGATTTCTCCAGCTGTCCGCTGTTTTTGAGCACGAGGATGTTTTTTCCAAGATGGCGGCGAGGTACATGTTGTATCAGAGCCGGGTGGGGTATGTTGTAGGGGAAAGTGGGGTAAGACGGGCACCTTAACTTTGGAGCCATTTTTCGGCCGGTTAGAAACATCATAGAAACGGGAAACTGGGTGAAAACCTTTTTCAGACATTTTACTTTCATTTGCCAGAAGATGAGACTTAGACCTGATTCAACAAATAAACTGCAGCTATTTTTGCAAAACCTTGCAAAAACCCGTCTTACCCCACCCCATGGGGTAAGACGGTCACATGGGTAGGGCAAGACGGCCAGCTTCTTTCACCGATCAGCGCAGCTCGCAACAAATGCCCGAGATTAGCCGCATTTATACAGTCGCTCGTTGGTCTCAAGTGCTTCGGAAATGGCAGTATACGAGATTCGTGCAGAAGGCGTATGCTCCTATATAGGCCCTAGTTCAGAAGCCATGTAGAACCGTTTTTCACATTCATTATTCGAGAATAAACTGTGCCGAAGGAATATTGCTAACATGTCTGTGAGTATCGGAATCGAACATATTCTTATTAGAAATGCTTCTTTTTTCCTACAGCAACAAAAATATTTTCACCATTACAGACCCATTGGGTTCATAGTTGCCCGTCTTACCCCAAACTCAATGTCAGAAGTTCAGCACGATTTTTCGCTGTGGACAATTTGATGCAGACAAAGCAAATCCGCCGTAAATGAACACTGTTGGCATATGAGTGTACCACAAGTGATTGCGAGTTTTTAACTCTATAGTGCTGTACACAAAAGCTTGCACAATACATTATGGATGTTTTCAATGAAATGAGTGTTTTAAAGAAATCAAAATAAAAGATTATCGACTGAACACAAATTCACCAGACTTGAATGGTGGTGTGTAGTGGGAAAGGCAATTCTGGTCCTAACTTTTCTTGCTCGTAGCGCTATTGGTTTGGTCTGCAGAAGGGGTGCCCGTCTTACCTACCCTGACCGTCTTACCCCACTTTCCCCTAACATGTATGTATGTATGGGTATGTTGCTTTTGATCGGGAAAGCTAAGCCCTGTCTCGCGTTTGTAGGTAGCTAGTCAATACTCGTTCCATTTCGGCACAATGTGTTGGCTTCTTTGCTCTTAACGGGCCACTTTTGCATCTAGTCTGTTGATGTTTCGTTCGTTTCTATGTTTTGTTCGGATTGCATTGACCTAAGCTTGGTCTAATAAAAGTGAAGCCTTTGAGCATATACATTGTATTAATACCATTTAATGTTGCTGTTATGTTCAAAACCAGTAGCAAGCACACTTCCTGAAACGTGAAATACCTAGTGATACAAATTACCCCACCATGTGATACAACTCACCCAAGCCATGGGGCAAGTTGTATCAAAAACATTGTTCTATTCGGCAGACCGTAGAAGAAAAACTGGTAGAGGTAGCTGAAAAGTTACTTTGCACAAAAAAAGCAGAAGAATCAAGGAAGGAGATAGTATGGAAATAATGAGTTTATCACGGATAGTTACGAGGTTATGGGTCTCGGAGTAAAAACTGATACAACCCACCCCACTCTCCCCTAGTCATTTATCCAATTCAACATTAGGTCTAAAATATGTCTGAAGTAACATAAAAATGAAGTGAACATTTCTGTCGTGCTTTGATATACGTAGCATAACGACCACGACGGTCGCAAGTGACCGCCGGGGCTGTGAACGGCACGGCAACGACCGGCCGGCGGGCGGCTACGCCAGCGCCATCTATGGAGAGAATCGGGTAACTAACGCAAACCTTTCGAGCCTTATGCTTTCCTGCGAGGCCGGTGAAGCAGGCGGCGTGCCGATTTCGACGCCGCTGTATGCCGAATCGACTGGTACATGCATTTAGCGATACATTGTTAATATTTTTTCATTATATTCATCATATTATTCAAAAACATGCAAAAATTGAGAAAACCGAAAATATTCAAAGAGCCGGGGCGGTCAAAATAAATTCGAATTTTATATTATTTCCGCCGGATTCGTGATCAGCACCCCCAAATACGTTAGATTAGACCTGGGGAGCAAAACTTTTCGAAACTTTGTGCAAAACCGGTCACCCTACCGTCGAAGTCTCCTGGTGCACTGACGATAACGTCCCGTACTTGGGCCGCCACGTTGGTAGGCAGATTTGCCACCAGCAGCTTGAACTTTGTGACGGGATCGGCAATGCCAGCCACGTCGAACGCACATTCAACTTGGAGCAGCCAGAGGTCCGCCTCGTCCGGGGCAAACGCCGGCAGTCTGAATGAAGCAAGCGGTCGCGCCCGCTCGTCCGATGCAGCCGTGGTGGCAGGAGTGTCGGCCGACGCAGCCTCCTGCGAGGTGTCGCCCTCCATCACGGGCATGGTGTACACGTCACCGTACCGCGCCGCGTCCCCGGACCGGCAACTCGTCTGCCCACTGCGCTCGCTGCGCTACCGTGGTCCGGGGGTTAACACTGTACACTGAGAGCCCGAGACGACGCACTGCTCATCCCGGACCTGGCCGCTGCCCACTACGCTCGCTGCGTTACAGAGGTCCGGGAAGGCATCACAATCCGCTGGCGTGTTGATGGCGTACCCCCAGTCAGCGGCGAATCCTGCGTGCCGCGGCGAATCCGGCGTGCCTTGGGGGTCCGCACCGCGGCGAGAGAAGGTGGAAGTCCGGAAGTGGCCGTCTGGCAGGTGAGAAGGCCAGTAGTGGTCCGTACCACAGCGGGGCCAGTGAGACGGCCAGGAGTAAGTGTCTCGCAGGTGAGTCCAGAGTCGGGTGTCACCAATGTGGCACGGCTGAGAATAGCCGGTCGCCACTTGAACCGCTAGCAGTGTATACCGTTAGTAGTTCACCTCTCGTTGTGAGAGGGAGTGAAAGGATTGTCAAGGCAGAATCTACCATCCGCCAACGTCGGCACCACACAACTCCAAGGTAGGAGGAGACTCCCGATGTGGGCCCGTGTCGGTAGCTCTGAGCTTGACTAGGATGAACGAGTTACCGATCGTGGATCGTACTGATTTATTGAACAAAAATTGGCACACTATATTTCTAACAAGGCTACCTTGCATAGGTAGTTTCAGCGTCTAAATGGTAATATTACAAATTACAGTGACAGTTGGACAAAGAAAAATTACTCCACACCTGCGCTCCTAGATTACCCTCTTAAGGCGTGACAATACAACAGCTACGGTTACAAGAGATAACATATAAGGCAGAAAACAATCACAAGACATATGTGTCAATCAATCACTGACATCTGCGTGCATCAAAAGGATTTACTAGTTTACGACGCCGCCGCTGGGTTGCACACGCTACGGCGCCGTCGCTAGCAACGGAGCGCTGTTGCACCCGCTACAGCCCCACACCGGTGACTCTGGGGACTCACCGGCTCCTGAGACCACCATGTTGATGTCTAACGGCTCCACAAGGCCACTGAAGGCACCACACAAGCTATCACTGTCCACTGAGCTCTAATGTCCATGTACCGGCCTCTGAGGGATTTAAGCCAGCGCATTCATAGCTCCACATCAGCAATTGTAAGGGCTTCACACTGAAGTATCTGAGGGTTCCACACCGGTGTCTCTAAGGGCCACATACCGGCATCTCTGAGGGCCCCATACCGGCTTCTCCGAGGGTCCACATCTGGCGGGCACCCATCAGCGACTGAGGGTCCCACACTGTCGACTCCGAGAGCCCCATCTGCGTCTGGGATGTCGCGGAGGCGCGGATGGAGAGATGACTGAGCGGGCCGAGACTTGTATTGCAACGGTGGTTCTGATCCTGATTCGCCAGTGCCTGTGCGTTATATGCAGGGTGGTTGCACAATGAAGGACCGGTCCGCCGACCCGCCGGGTCGGTGGACGGTGCCGACACGTGGGGAAAGTGACGGCTATTTCTATGTAACAAAGCTTGCACGTGTACTCTCTTTATCATGATATGGAAGAAGGGAATCGGTCCCACATTATCTTCCCTCCCCCAGGGAAGCGTAGGGAACCGAAGCGATCATAACAAAGAGAGGAAACGTTTAGCTGACGGAGAAAGAAATGTTCATATGAGCGTATCACAAAATGGTATGAACAGATAAGTAAGTTTCGTGACAATTACACCTACTACCGGGCGATCCCTCCGCACTCTTGGCGGGGACCGTCCCTGGGCATCTCCATGGCCCTCGGCATCTCTGGCCGAATATCAATACAATATAATTTCAGTGAATTGACCACGATTAACGTATTTGAATGTTCATACCGACTTCAGAATATGCTCTTTTTATGCTTATTAGTGTCAAAGTGACACTGCAAAATGCAGGCAAAAATTAAGCGCATTTGCAATTTCTCCGTAAATTTTGGGGTGAGCAACCACAATGAAGCACAACAAACGACAGAACACTGACGAAAACGGATAATGAAACAGTACGGTTTTTGAAACACATCGAAGTTAAAACAAATTTCACAGCACAATTTCACTGTCACTTTTTGACGAAAATACAGCAAAAGTTCATAATGGGTGAATTTTCTTGATTTCGGTGCCAAGTTGTCTTGAATTTAGCGTTGATATTTTTTTTCTTCTCTTCTCTCCTCCGATCTTGAGTCCTTCAGCGAGGTGGTGTCCATCACTCGATGATGCTGAGGAGGACGGCGCGGGCTGATGAGCCGTGCGCTGTCGGCGGGCTCCGTAGTAGTCCAGGGTAGCTGATGACCTTGCCGCAGGGCAGATAGTCTTGCTGGGCAGAGCTACTCACTGGAGACGGTGCTGCTGGACGATGACGAGTCCAGGATGGTCAGCTCCCTAGTCGATGACGTGACGTAGGGGCGATACACCGTCACGGAGCACGGACTAACCAGTCTGCGATGTCAGTGCAGATGTAGAGGCTGGGGTCCGTGTTGAGGGGCACAAGTCCCCTCGACCGCCGCTGCCACCATTGTCGCGGAGGCGCGGATGGAGAGATGACTGAGCGGGCCGAGACTTGTATTGCAACGGTGGTTCTGATCCTGATTCGCCAGTGCCTGTGCGTTATATGCAGGGTGGTTGCACAATGAAGGACCGGTCCGCCGACCCGCCGGGTCGGTGGACGGTGCCGACACGTGGGGAAAGTGACGGCTATTTCTATGTAACAAAGCTTGCACGTGTACTCTCTTTATCATGATATGGAAGAAGGGAATCGGTCCCACAGGGAGCACCATGCCGTCTCTAAGAACCACAGCAGCCCCTCCGTACGAAAGATGGGCGGCTGCATGCCAAAGGGGAGCGGTTCTGAGACAGTAGGGCACCTACGTGCAATAGAGGGGCGCCTATGAAGCCCATAGGGGCGTCTCAATGCGAAAGCCTCTGAGGCCTACATAAATGGGCTTCCACATGCAATAGAGGTCTGCAGACTGCAATTGATCAATGCCATGGGGGTGCATTCATAAGAAACAGGGGCGCCGGCATGGCAAAGAGAGGCGCCTTCAAGTGTCCATAAAAGAGAGACGCCTGTGATAAGCGCACATTGTATGCGACAACGGGGCGACTGTGGGACATATAGGGATGTCTCTGATGACTATACATAGGGCGCTTATATGCCAAAGAGGGCGCCTATGAAGCTAATGGGGGCACCTGGGAAACGAGGAAGACATTTGTGTAAGGGTTTTCAGGGGTCATGCGACGTTTGCGGCAAATAGATTAAAAAAAAAAATCGGAGGGGGAATAAGTTTTAAAAATGGTGCGGACTTTCCGCACTGTTCGCTTAAGCGGTTACACCCTTGGGTACATCTGCCCGGCCACGATCTCAGAAGCTAGATTTATAGGTCATACTTGAAAGCAGCCAGCAGGACGAGGCAAAAGTTGGAGGCCCCTGAAAATAGGAGGCCCCCTGGAAAAGGAGGCCCCTTGACAGGGTGGCCCACCCACTTTTCATGACGTTCCTACGCCCGACTAGATCATGCACTGTCCATGGTCTGTCCGCTCCATTCCAGCCGAAGTACTGACAGCGCGCGCTCAGGGTCAGAGCTGAGCAGTGTACGACCCTCCCGCAACCGCGGGCTGCCGCTCGTTATCTGGCACCGATGTTGCATCTGATTCTGATCGGCCATCACCTGTTGATAGCAAGATATGTGCACCGGAGCCAACAGCTGTGAACACAAGCATAGTCACCTTTTCCCCTCCCTGAGACCTGTTGATGAAATGGGGTAGGATAAATACGGAAGTTGATCATACTTTTTCAACTGCCCTTTCTTTCAAGCTGTAGGGTAGCCTGGGGCAAGACGCCCCAGATAATTTATTTTGCTACATAAATTTTGTCCCACATCACCTGAAAGGCCAAATTTGTGCTCAATGCGTTCTTTGGACATTTTACTTTAAAGTGCACCTCTCAAATTGATTCACTTATGATCGGACTCCAAGCTAGGAAGTGATTTGTGAAGCAACTGCAAATGGGGCATTTTGCCCCAACCCCAGGGCAAAACGCCCCACGGCCTGGGGCAAGTAGCCCCATACCTTAGATTAAAGATTTAACATGGTAGTTGGCTAAATCTTATGTGAGAGGTCCGTTAGACCTCTGGAGGCACGGCACTGAAGTTAGCACATTCCATCCTGTCAGGTGCTCAGCATATGACACTGTTGTATGAGCAGGTTTTTCACCTACCTCAGAAGACCAAATAATAAATTATTGCAATGCAAATGTTAACAAAATACTTCCTTTGCCATCCATTTGCTGAGAAAAATACACATAAAGGCATAGAAACTTACTGTTCGCCAGCTACCGAACATTAGAAAGTGGGTAGCCCCAACAACACAAGAGGTAAAACGCCCCAGGGGCTTTTTGCCCCGCGACCTACTGGGGCGTTTTACCCCATCACGTAGTTCGGTCAGAGAACAACGCCTTGCACTCCAGTAAGACATAATTTAACACGAACCAACCCGGCATGATAAGCGTTAGACAATAGTTGTTCAAAATACATAAAAGTCGTTAACCTAATGTGGACCATAAAAGAACGCCATGATTCATAATCTGACAACAAAACATAAAAATCACTCAAAAAACACATTTTTAATTATATCTCCCGAAAGAGTCATCACAATTTCTTTCCAATCTGCTCATATAATGATCATATAGTGCACGTTTTATAGAAGAGATGATGTTTCCCCAGAACCCTGCCAGTTCCGAGAAACATCGGTGAGGCGTTTTACCTCGGCGGGGCGACTTGCCCCGGTCTACCCTATATCCAAAAGCTACCCTGTGGTGTGCAGATAGTACAGCGATGAAACCACACCAGGTGTATCTTTACTTCCTAAGGTTATGTAAATGCGTGGGCACGCCATCACCTTGACGCGCTGAAACGCACAATGACCTCTCAGCGTCCGCGCTGGTCCGCGCCGCTCGCTTCTTGAGGCCATG